GCTTACTTAAGTGAAAAATTGCATGGCGCTGTTCTTAATTATTCCATGTATGATAAGAAATTGTATGTACTTGTTCGTTCTTTAGGGACGTGGCGTCATTATTTGTGGCCTAAAGAATTTGTTATTCATTCTGATCATGATTTGCTTAAGTATCTTCGCTCTCAAAATAATCTGAATCGTAGGCATGCTAAATGGGTTGAATTTATTGAATCTTTTCCTTATATTATCAAACACAAGAAAGGGAAGGATAATATGATTGCTGATGATTTGTCTAGAAGATATACATTGCTATCCCAACTTGATTGTCGGATTTTTGGTCTTCAATCAATAAAAGAACAATATGTGCTTGACCCTGATTTTAAGGATGTGTTGCTTAATTGTAGAGAGGGACGTACATGGAATAAGTTTATGATCAATGATGGGTTTTTGTTTAGAGCTAACCGCATATGTATTCTAGTTGGTTCCGTTCGTCTTTTGTTGTTGCAGGAGGCACATGGAGGCGGATTGATGGGACATTTTGGTGCCAAGAAGACGGAGGAGGTACTGTCCACACACTTCTTTTGGCCAAGGATGGGGCGAGATGTAGAGCGGTACGTGGCTTGGTGTGCCACATGTTAAAAAGCTAAGTCGTGGTTGAACCTACATGGTTTGTATATGCCTCTTCCTGTTTCTTCTACTCCTTGGGTTGATATATCTATGGATTTTGTGTTGGCTTTGCCAAGGACTAAGAGGGGGAGGGATAGCATTTTTGTGGTGATTGATCGTTTTTCTAAGATGGCACATTTTATTCCTTGTCATAAGTGTGACGATGCTGTTTATATTGCTGACCTTTTCTTTTAAGAAATCATTCGCTTGTATGGTATGCCTTCTACTATTGTTTCAGATCGTGATGCAAAATTTTGAGTCATTTTTGGCGCACGTTGTGGAATAAATTGGGGACCAAGCTGCTGTTTTCTACAACATGTCATCCCCAAACTGATGGGCAAACTGAGGTTGTGAATCGAACATTGTCCACCATGTTGAGAGCAATTTTGAAGCGCAATTTGAAGATGTGGAAAGAGCGTTTGCTGCATGTGGAGTTTGCATATAACAGGGCAGAACATTCCACCACCAAGGTAAGTCCTTTTCAGGTAGTGTATGGTTTTAACCCCCGTGCTCCTATTCATCTTTTGCTTTTACCTACCACTGAGAGAATACATAGTGATGCTAGAGAGCGTGCTGATTTTATTCGTAAGTTGCACGAAACAACTAAAGCAAATATTGAAAGAATGAATGAAAAGTAAAGAATTGCTGGTAGTAAAGGTAGAAAAGAGATTAAACTTGAACCGAGTGATTTGGTTTGGTTACATTTGAGAAAAGATAGATTTCTTGAGCTGCGTAAGTCTAAATTAATGCCAAGAGCAGCTGTTCCTTATAAGATCATTGAGAAAATAAATGCTAATGCCTACAAACTTGAGTTGTCACCCGAGTTCGGGGTTAGTCCCACCTTTAACATTATAGATTTGAAACCTTATTTGGGAAGAAGATGAGCTTGAGTCGAGGATGACTCCATTTCAAGAGGGGGAGGATGATGAGGACATCACTTCTTCAGAGGCACCCGCTGATCCTCCAACCGTCATGCAAGGTCCAATGACCCGGGCTCGAATGCGTCAACTCAATTTAGAGGTGAGCTCGTTCTTAAGCGATTCTTTTCATACTTTTGAGAATAGACTACTACCTAATGATGTTATCTTGCTTAGGAACATTGGAGAGGATCATGAGGGACTTAGAGGATGTGGTGGGCGCAATGATGACCAGCAAGGACGTCCAATAGAAACCGGAGGCCCGATCCAACATGATTTCGAGTCTGCCTCGGCCTCCAGGACCAGTCTGTCTTAAACTGGTCACCCAGGACACATCCGGACTCCGTTTTCGACGATCCACATATGGATGGAAAGCTAATTTGATAAGGAAGCCAATCCAAGTGGTCTCACATCAAAAGTTATTCAGAATCAACAGGAATCGTGGTCACAAGTCAGCGTCTAGAATCTGTTAGGGTGCTGCGACACCGTCTTTTGGTCCGTTGGGACATGTATCATGTTTGGGCCCATTAGGGGCGCGTCCAGGGGTCTTGCATGACCCTGGAGTCTTCATAAACAGCCACCACCCCTCTATTAGGGTTTGAGTTTTGCTTAGATTATTCTATCCAGAACAGTTCTGCCGTTCATCGGTTTGTGAGACCCCAACTTCATGAGATTAATCATTCATCTGCAATTTGGTTGCGTTCTTTCTTGTTCTTGCTTGTGTTCTTCGTTGCGCAGGCAGAAATTAGCCTTCTTGGCGAGGTCAACCTGGTCCGTGACTCGGTTGATAACCAGAGGAGCTATGGTGCTAAGATTGCAGGGCTCGATCTTTCGATCTGAAGCCGGATCGGTGTGTCATTCTCCGCCACAACGATAGTTACCACCACCTGACGGAAGATCGGGATCCCGTTTCCATTACAGTGACTGGTCGGCGAAACGACTTTGACTGTGGCGGCGATTGGGTCTCGGCGCAGCGGATCGGTGAATCATGCTCGTAGAACGCGAAGGTGTCTGATCCTCGCGGATCTCATTGACCTGACAGTGTGCCGCTTTAAGCATGGCGGCGACCTTGGTGACCTCTGGTGTTTGCGGGAGCCGGGCGAGCTCATTGGCAGCGACGGTCAAGTTGGCGCTCGGGGTCTTGTAGACGTCGTGGCCGTCAACACGGAGAAACTCGTCGTCGAGGTCGCGGTGGAGCGGGAGTGGCCTTCCTTGTGAGTCGAGCCGATTATTGCGGTCAGCCTCGGCCCTCGCAATGGCAGCCTCGTTTTCTCGGCGCTGCGCACGGTTGACGTTCCAGTTCTCACGAGCGACGTGTTCCTCCTCGGTTTTGCCATTCCGAGGAGGGCTGTCGACGCTGTCGTTGAAGATCGCGCCACTCCGGAAGGGTGGGAGAAGGAGATGCTCGGTGAAGGTTTCGGCGAGGGTCTCCGTAGAGCCCTAAGACTCGGAGCCTGGATTTTTCTCTGGGATGGTTTGGAGGGACGCTTCGGGGCACCGGCCGATGTGTAGCATGTTGATGGCTAGTGGAGGTTGGTCGGCGATCTGGTCGGTGAGTGGATGGGCGTCTCCCACCTGGTCGATGAATTTGCCCCTCAGGGCGTCTTTGTAGGTAGCGGCGGCGTTGGTGAGCCAGAAGGGCAGAGCCGCAACTCCTGGAGTTTTCCGAGCAACCTCCGACAGATCTGGGTCGGAGGGTGGTCGGAGCTGAACCAAGGTGTCCAGGGCTGATTCGGCGATGGGGAGGCAATCGGCGAGCTTCAGACCAACCCGGTCGATGGATTCGATCAGATCGTCGTTGTTGATCTACCTCCTCTGGTAGCGAGGAAGCGGGCGGCGAGTTGCTGATGAAGGAGACCTCGGAAGTGGTTCCGAGATCGAATCTGCAGTCGCAGGTGCGGGGATGATCGGCGCAGAATTGATCTGCACCGGCTCGAGGAGCTCTCCGACTCCGTCAGCGTTGATGATCCACGAGATCGATCTGACTGTGAAGATTTGGCCGGGCCGCGGGAGGGACAAAGAGCCTACGGAAAAAGCCATCTTGTTCGACAAGGAAACAACACGCAATCCCCTACCTGGCGCGTCAACTGTCAACAGAATATCGTCGGCAGTCCTCCGAGGGGTATCCCACGAAGGTAGATTGATCGGCAGAGAAGCGTGTAATCAAGAACAAGAAGGCAACAGAGACACACGAGTTAGACAGGTTCAGGCCGTCAGTATGACGTAATACCCTACTCCTGTGGTCTGTTGAGTTGTATTAGCTATCGTATGATATGCCGTGAGTTTGGAGGGGGTCCCTGCCCGCCTTATATAGTCCGGGAGGCAGGGTTACAAGTCGGTTAGATCTGAGAGATAACCGAAAAGTAATAACAGATTACAGGAATCATGGGATCATACGTATCCTAACAGATCTTGTAGTATCTTCAAAATATCTTCTCGATATCTTGCGGAAAGCGCCGAGCAGAATCGTGCCCCGAAAGGCTTCGTCTTGTGGGTTGGGCCGCCGCTGGAGGCGCGGCCGATGTGGTCCGCCGTGGGTATCCGGGGTCGTACACCTAGAGTAATGCAAGAGCTCCCCACTACCAAGTAAGCTCTTTCTACTTGTTCATCTGTGTACTTATGGATAAAAACTACATGGTTTTGTTTGGCTAACTAGTGCCAGGAATAGCTTTTCTAGCCAGTACGTTCGTGCAAGAAGCCTGCTGGCAAAAACAAAACAACGGGGTGTTTAGTTGGAGGCAAACTTTACATAGTGAAAAATTTCTACTGTAGCATTTCGTTTGTATTTGTGAATTATTATCCAAATATTGACTAATTAGGCTCAAAAGATTCGTCTTGCAAAGTTAAAGCAAATTATGTAATTAGTTTTTGATTTCGTCTACATTTAGTACTTCATGCATATACCACAAGTTTAATGTGATGGAAAATCTTCTTTTTATATAGTGCATTTTTAGAAGCTCGAAGGAACTAAATAAGGGCCGAGCGCAATTATAAAAGAGAACACACATGAGCTGATACGTGCGTGCGCCAGGGCCAGCGCCTGGCCAATGTCCCTACCGGTGGATGAGGTGCATGCATAAAAAAAATACTAGCATTACTGTTTTCCCCTGCACCTAGACTACCACTTACTTTGCCCTAACGTGCTAGCTAGACCCTATAGCAGCATCAGCACGGGCAGGGAGCCGAAGAAGCCGGTGCAAGACAAAACTGCAAAGCCTGCTGCTCCCACCCTCCCTGCAGCGGTCAAAACTGCAAAGCCTGCTGCTCCCACCCTCCCTGCAGCGGTGCAGCCGGCCAGCCGTTGGCACCTAGTAGTGTACTGGTACAACAGATCCTCGCACTCGCACTCGCACTCGCATTCTCCCTCCCAACCACTCACCTCCCTCCCGGCCTCCTCCTTCCCTGCTTTCCCCTTCCCTTCCCTTCCCTTCCCCAGTGATGGAGGGCCTGTTTGCTTGTCTCCCAGGCAAGCTTGCCTGGCGCCGGCGTTTCTCCCAGGCGTCGGATTTCCGGCGGCACCTGGGGCCACGATCGTCGCTGCCTGGCGGGCAGCTTGCTTGGGAGACCGTGAAGCAAACTCCGCCAGGCAAGTCCGTCGGTGACGAGGGCCGGGGGCATGGAGGGGCTGAAGGAGATGATGGATCACCACCACCGATCGGGACTCCGACGCCGAGCAGCGTCGTCACCGACGACTGCTGCGACAAGGGGCCGGGACAGAAGCAGATCCCTCCAAAGGCACCCATGCCGCCACCATCCATGGAAGTGGCACTAGGGCAGGAGCCGCTTCTTCTGCCCAGCGATGGCGCACCGCCTGGCTCGCACCAGGGGCCAGCGGTGGCGGCGCTGGAGGGATTGGACAAGAAGGTGATACTAGCTACTAAGGGTTGTTTGTGGTTTTCGTTTTCTCTTTATTACCTGATCGTCTCAGCGATCGTTTGCTTGTTTGATGGTCGTCTACACCTAGCTTGCACCCGTTTGTTCATAAATCTCGATCTTTTTCTTCTTCCAAAAAAAATCTTTCCTTTTCCCCCCATGCGGGCTGCGGCTGTCATAGATCGATCTGTTCTTGCATCCTTTCTTGCCTGTTGCTTTTCGAAAAAAACAAGATGAAAAAAAATCTATCTAGTTAGGTAGTAGATCTGTGCATTCTGTCTCTGCTGGTGAGTGGTGACCTACATGGCACCGAGTTTGCTAGATCTATGAATATACGCTTTATTCACTGGGCTTATAAACCGTACTTTTTAACCAACAAATAGTATTTTTCTCTCTCGGGGCAACAGTGAGATCAAAATGGGTGCACGGTTGCCCGGATCATATATACATATACAGGCGCGCACGCGGTTTTCTCGATTTTGGCGCTTTTTGCATGCATGGGACAATGATGAATGCAGAGAGCTACACATGTTTCACTGCGACGATCAGTTTCTCTTCATCGTGTCTTTATGATGCCCTGACCGATCCTTTTTTTTCATGGGTGTTACACGTATTGTTTCCCACCGTACCATCCTGTGTCCTCCAAAACCACATGCGCGCCTAGCTTGCACCCCTCAATCAAGATACTTCCTTGGTCTCGGGTTTACATTTCAAGCAATGCTCGATATCAATTTTCAATGGGTCTTATGCCATACCCAGAAAAAACAAAATTGCGTCCACATGATGTTGCCAATTTCCTGATGCTCAGTTGTTGTCTGCAGTTAAAAAAGAGTCTTTTGTATTGGGAACGTTTAGATATTACATTACAGTACCAAATAGAGATATAAAGAACTTTCTTTGAATATAGTAGTTCAGGATTTTATTTGTTTGGTGGATTTCACTTCCTCGTAGACTCACATATGTTTGGTTCCATATGGCAAGCTTGAGCTACAAAGTTCCACCATTTATTTGTCCAACCAATACTTCCACGTGTATATTGCTTAGGGAATGAACTCTTTCTTCTTGGTGGAGACATGCATGACACAGCATTGCTCTAGGCAGCATAATATGAGAACCATGGCCCGATCATTACCTTTGCTTCAAACAAATTAGCCCCCCCGGGGGGCTCCGCCCGGCCTGGTATGGTCTGGCATGCATGGTACACAAGCTCACTCTATTCTTGCCAAGGCAAGCTTGGGCAGCAAAGGAAATAAAAGCCAAAGGAAGTGGGCCTTTTTCCTGGCCTCACTTTAGTTACCTAGTATGTGCAAACCAGAATTCCCTGAAGCCAATAGTTCAAGTAGGCCTTCTTGCAGTAGTTTGGCAATTCTATGATGAAATAATCATCCATAGGATGTTTGGGGTGAACAAGAAAGTAATCACAAATTCTTAAAGTGAAACCAAATCCTGTGCTACTGTTACCTATTGATATAGGATGCAATTAATAGTTTTAGAATGCAATTATTACAAAAATGTTGGCTTAGTGCATAACGTTTTTCTTGAGTTGAAATTGTTCCTATCTAAACATCTTCCGTATGACCATATTAGACCATAGTTAATTCTGTAGTTTGGAATACGACCTGTAATTTAAACACTTTTGGTTGTTTTATTCTACTGTTGCAGGAGAAGAGTTTTACTTATTTAAGGCATGTGAGCTGCTCCACGACCAAGCAAGATATTGAGTATATGCCTAAGTTCCCCCTTTACTCTTAGTTAAATTTTACCCTCAAATATGACATTGATAGGGTTTGTCAGTTTTTTTCCACAATGCCTTTCTACCTTGTAATAAGTTCAGAATCTACCATATTGCAACGATAAATGCCATTACAGAATAATGATTTATGCTTAATAGGATTATTTGTTCTGAAATAATTAACCATTGAGTGCTGAAAACTTTTCAAAAAACGATTTATAATTATTTTGAAGCAATTTGTAACCTGTAATTTGGCTGTTTAGAGTTTGCAGCTCCCCTACACGTCAATGGTTCCTATGTGCTAGCTGATGTATTACTTTTAATTTGTTCTATAACATGATCTACAGAAGTGTTGAAATATATAGCATAGTAGAAGTTCCGTAACATTCCTTAGTCGATTGTAGCATAAACCTTTCAGGGAATGAAATTCACAAACACATTCGTATACCATGCAAGTTGTTTATGTCTCTTGTTTTGTGCTATTTTTGTATGTAGTATATTGTTTTGAATGATACTTAATGGTACTGGTACGTACTCTTAAGTCGGCTGCAAAACCGAAATGTGTTACTGACACTTGGATGAACTTGTGTTGATGTAATTTGTACTCAAAATTTACAAAGGTCCTATAATATTTTTTGCATAATATATATTCACTATTACACATACACAAATTTGAATTTCCATTTCCTTTCAAAACATTTACCACTAAATATATTTAGTATATTTTTAATCTAAGTGCTGACATCACAGAGGTCAATGAAGTAACATAAACAATATAATCACTTTTGGAATCCCATTACCTCTTCAGTTTATTAGTCATGTACTTCCATAGTACTTTTTTTTCTTATTCTCCTTTCGAAAATGGAATATTTTTAGTGTACTCAAGTGTTCAAATGCTTGATATGGTATATTCCTTTGTACATTAAAGTGTAAAAAAAAAGTGGGTCCTTCTGTATTTTAGAAAAATTGGGGATATAATAGCAGAATCTACAGAAGCTGTTGGTATCCATACTGTTCTTAACCTAGCCACATATCAGAGACTTAAGTTGATCCTGCTTCTTGCATATGTAGGATTTATTTATTGGTTTAGCAACTTACAACTGTTATTATTTTTTTCTGATTCAAATCATTTCAGAGAGCCTGAAGTTTCATTGCTCAAGTTTAAAGGAATTCCAGTAACAGACTTATTGATTCTTGAGGTATGTATGGTAAAAAAGGAAGAAGGTTTTAGATGGATAAGGAATAACCTCAAAACTAGTAACTATGCTCTTAGTTTTGTTTGTCTTTGAAAGCAGAGTTGTGAGCTTGCGCCGTTGCATCCCTTTAGTTACTGCTTGGACATGTCTTTAAATGAAGCAACATTAATTTGTATTTTAATAAAAAAAAGAGAACAAAATCTAGAATACATTTTTTAGGAACCTAAATGGATAATCATTATCAGTTCATTTATTTCTATCGTTTTGCTTGTTAGTTCCGTGGCTTAGATTTACTCATAGAATTCAAAAAAATTTTTCACATCTCATGTTTGGTTAACCATAAGCTACCATTATCTTTGTGAATTCAATTCTTGGAAATGTAACATTACATACATATATGCCTCTTTCTCCTTGGAGGAGAGCCACAGCTTCCCTAGTATTCATTACAATAGGAGAACACATGTTTCAGTTGCTAGTAGTGCTTTGTTGAATGCATTAAATGGAGCCACAGCTTCACCAGAAAGCTTGTTGAATTGAATTTTGCTCAGTTTAACCCATCTATTTAGCACCATGAAGCTAACACTGTTTTTGAGCAATACTAACGCGTGGACATTTTTATGGTACAATATAATTACCACTGCACTATATGATGTTTGATACATAACAACTGAAAAAAAGAACTGCTGCCATTATGTTTTGTAATAGTAGGACTTACACTTATAGAATGCTGCAACCAAAATGTTATGCTCTTCTAAACATACCGTTGCTGAAATTGAAATTGTTGCTTTTGAAGAATAGTTTGTATATCTGATCATATTTTCACATTGTAAATTGGCACTATACTCCCATACCTCTACTTGAAATAGCTTTTCGTTGTTTTCTTTTCCTGTTGCAGGAGTCAAGGATAAATCTAACAAATACTACTGCCACCTTCCACTTTGAGAAAGATATTGGGTATGCATAAGTTCTCCCATAGTCCGCTTGCTTGATCTTATGCTTAAATTTTAAGCTAATCTCACATATCTGTTTTTTTCACTGCACCTTTTAGCCTATCAAATCTTTAATCAACCATTATGTTTTAAAGTTGTAAACAAAAATGGCATTATTGTATAATTTCTATATTAGACATCTTCTGTTATTCTTTGGGTTTGTCTACTCCATACCCAGGTGAAAATCTTCTCTCCAGCAACCAATTTTTTATTTTAGCATGCATGGAAATAAAACCAAGATTTGGGTGAAAATCTTCTTTCTCACACCACAATTTTAGTTATTGTCACTTATGCTGGATTTACACTCAACTTGTGCTAGAGTTATGGTGATTATTTTGGTGTAATTAATTTCTAGGTAAAATTGGTGTAACTAATTAAAAATCCATGTGTGGGGAACGAATATTTCACCTGATTTTTCTAGATACAATTGGTGTAACTAAAAATTCAGGTGTGAGGATAGAATATTTAATTAGAAGCAACACAACTTTTGTTGGAGCATCCTCATATGGGCATTTGTTCCTTGAAGTTTAGATCGCAAAAATCCCTTTACTGAACTCAAGCAAATTAGATCATATTGTAGTCTTAGTAAGACAATAGGAAAGTGACATTCACGGTGCAAAACGGATGTTAGAACTTAGAAGCACACAGATCTAAAGAAAACTGCAAATCGAAAACCATAGTAGTAAAGATGGGAGTTTGAAACATCTCGCCGAGTACATTAACAATCAGAATACCCTAAGCACCAAGAGTCTGACCAACATCCCTTGTAGCAAACACAGATAACAACACACATAACAGAGCTAGCGATTCAATTTATCAACCACCAAGTACATGTAACTTCCACCAAAACACCTAATGTGTCATTAGGAGTCTGACCAGCAGTGTTTCGCTCAGAAGACATGCAACACCTAAAATAGCTTCTACTAAAAAATCAACATAGTTCAGCAGATCAAAGTTTATCACAAGCCTCAGGATGTAGTTTGATCGATGTCCTGCTAGCTGCTGTCTTTGTTTTTTTTATTGAGGGTCTTCTGTGAGATCTGCAAATTACATCCCATTATAAACCGCCACACTATAGGAGCAATATACAGTCATACAGAGAGCTAATATGATCTTTGAATCAACCCAGAAATAAGTTATCCTCATCAATTACAGAAAATCTTATGGGTCTATTAAATATCATGAATAATTAACATATAGGATGGTCAGTCATGCATAATGTTAAGAAAATATAATTTATACTCAAATTTTTTTGTTCCATGGAGTTTTTGTTTTGCGAATTTTCATGGAGAAAATTAACCAACCGTTCCTATCAACTATCTTATCTATATATTGAAATGTCATTCCTAAAAACAAATCTCCATCACTGGAAGACCACGGACAGTGCGAAAGGATATCTATATGGAGCCATTTATATAGAAACGATATTCAATGACTAAAGAAGATGCATAGTAAATAGCACATTTGCACTATGTAAAATATGGGTTAAGAAGTGTACAGTGTTAATATGTCGAAGTCTACTGGTGCATTGAAGTCCATGGCCACATTCAACAGAATAGTAGGCAAAAAGTCTTCTAGTGTTGCAGCAAACACTGCTTCAACCTCTAGCAATTTTATCTATATGAAATGAAAAATATGTATATATGTATTAGTACATATTAGACATGAACATATCTCATTGCTATGAAAGAACTACAAACTAATTACACACCTGATAATCGGCGTGACTGAAATAATTCCTTGCAAAACGCAGACATCCAAGAATATGAGCATCGTATTCAGGATTCACTATTGTTATATTCCTAATGGGATCAGTCTTGGAATTATAGAGGTGCACTGTCTTCAATGCAGAAACATTCTGTACAACATTGAGCCATCTTGGAAATTGAATCAAAGCAGCACCAAAATCAACCCGATCATTAATGTCTAGGCGACGAGCCATGCTGTCTAGTAAAATACATTGTTATCTGTCCATATAGGATCCAATGCAGGATGGTTTGTGATGAAATGGATAACAGGCTCACTGTTTGATTTGTTTAGCAGGGCAATCAAATAGATATTTCAGGAAGTTCTCAAAATACATTGCAGTAGTTATTCCACCATCAATGAAATAGGCTCAAAAGATCTCATATAGTTTTGCATAATCATTACTGCAAGTGTGTTTATTGGAGTTATACGTCCAAAGATTGGAGGTGTCAAAATCAACCATTGTCTTGTTTATAATTAATATGTCACTGGCAGTAAACTTCCCATCAAAGCTTAAACCCTCACGATGTTTGCCACATATATAAACCATTATTTTGTGGATGTAATATGCTAAAAACTTTGACAGGAAAGTAACTGAGCTTTGGTTTTTATTCTTATCAATTGACAATGCATTCAAGGTAACTTGACGAAATCTTTTGTCCATATTTCGGTTCATCCATGCCTCAAAGGTTACAGATTCATACTCCCTGCATGTATACTTCTACATAAGAACCTTCTAAAGAACTGGATTAATTAAACAACATATAAGGGCATTGTTTGTATTTACACTTGCCAGCTCTTAACCTAGACCTGAGATGAACTGTGGAGTCTTTGAAAATTGGATAGTATGCAATAGGCTTATCAGCTTTTAGACGTTTTTCCACCGTCAATCGCATAAAAATCACATGCTTTCATCCCTACTTTACGACATGCTGAATCTATCAACTCTTTAATGGTTGTGGTGTTGAAATCTTTCTACAGTGACACTTTCTTCTGGCAAACCTTCTGGCAAACTCTCCTTAATGTTTAATTAATCCAATTCTTTAGAAGGTTCTTATGTAGAAGTATACATGCAGGGAGTATGAATCT